TCGCTGATGGTTGGTGAGGTCGTCTGGCTGGCGTGGCTCTGAACGCGGTTTTGCTTTCCGACGAGTCGCCCAAAAGCGGCCGCCGGAGCGAAAGTCATCCGGGGGTTGGGGGGCATCCGGGCATTGAGAGAACGCCCACCCAGACAAGCCGACAGAAAACCTGCACTGGTGCACTCGACAGCGGCATTCGAGTGCACCCGTGCAGCCCCTGGTTGATCTCGCTGATCGACATGCTTCTCCCTGGATGCATTCGATTCTTCCTGGACGTCGATTGGCTACCCCGATGGTAGGGGAACAGCCAATGACATAAACATAACAACTCGGAGGTCCGCGCGGATCTCTCGGATCGGCGTTGGACCCCCCTCCCTGGCGCGCGGAGCGCGCCAGGGGCGGCGCCGGAGGCGCCGCCAGGGGGCCCCAGCGCCGATCCGAGAAATCCGCGCGGGCCTCCGAGTATTTATGTTTGTGTCACTTTATGTTCCCCTAGATGGGGCCCACTCGGAGTGCGGTGCCGAGCGCGCGTGGAGTGCCCCCGGCAGCTTTCACTACAGGGCGCTTTGCAGTGTCAGAGCCCGTCTTCGGAAGAGAACCCTGGCGAGAGAGGCCAGGCGGCTCAGGAGACGCCTCGGGGTCGCATCGAAGTCTCCGGAGGAGGAGGAGGAGGAGAAAGAGGAGGAGGAGGAGGAGGAGACCTCCTGGCTATGGGGTTATCTTCTCGCAGCGGCGCCCCCCCCCGGTACGGCTGCATCGAAACCCCCGGTACGGCAGCGGCCCCGTCAAGAGCCGACTTTGGGTGGGGGTTGGGGGCGGATGCCGAATCGGGCCGTCAAGTTTGCCGTCACGAGGGTTGTCGTAGGCGTCGAAGGATATACTGAACCACTGGGCCAGCGTTTCTCACAAGCAGCGTGCCGGAAAAGCGGCCCAGCTTTGGGGGGACGAAGAATGACATCAGCATAGAAACTCTGAGGTTTTTGTACCAGCCTCGAACGTATCCCTATCCCTAAGATTGACACGCCAAAAGGCGACGACAATCTTAGGGATTCGCCCTCAAAAAATAAGGGAATCCCTAGGATTGGCATCGTGATGAGGAGGTGCCCAGCATAGGGATAGGGATATGCTCCAGGCTGGTAAGTGTTATGTTTATGTTGTTGCTCGTCCCCCTAAGCTTCTCAAGCACGTTCGTGCCTCGAGCGTCCGCCCAAGGCGCAGGCCTCCGAGAGCTTCGCCTCGAGTCGACTTCGGCGCGACTTCGATTCCTCTCCGGAGCCGCGGACCTCCGGAGGCGTCGGCTCGACCCCCCCCAATGAGGTGCACGCCTGGCCTCCCCGGGCTCCGCGCGCCAGGGAGGGAGCCCCGGCGCCGCTGCCAGGGATCCGCGCGGACCTCTCGAAAGTCAGGAGGGGAAGAAACACACAGACACAATGAATCGTCGATCCCCCGGGAAAACATGGGAAAATGTGGGAAGTGGGGGGGAAGACAAAAAATATTGGCAAATATGGGGAATCGTTTTATTTGTGTGTATTTATTTGCGTGTCCCAGGGCCCCTTCAGAAAGCCCGTGTTCACGCCGCTCCTTGTTCCTTCCTCTATATATGAAGGGCAGGAGAGCCCCATCGGGCCGCACGGGAGGGCAGGGATAGGCCAAGGGGGGGGCACGAGAGCTGCTGCATGCAGCTGGCTTCGGCCCCGCCGCTGGGCCCATTCCTCGAGACATGGGCGCCTCCCGGCGCCGGGAAAGCCAGCTGTGTGAGCTGATTCTCTACCCTGCCCTCAGCTATTCTGCACTCATCGTCCCCCCCCCCCCGAGCCAGGCACACACAGCGTGCATGGTGCGCACCGCCGCAGGGACGACCCGAGGCGGACGGAAGCACAGCGGGGCGCTCCCGATAGAGAGCCTCGCACTCGGCGCACCTCGCCTTCGGCGGCAGCCGGCGGAGGTACACTTCGAAGAAGAAAAACGGCATGAACATCAATGTTCGGAGCTCCGCGCGAATTTGGATCAGCGCTGGGCCCCCCCGGCGGCGCCTGACACTGCAAAGCGCCCTGTAGTGAAAGCTGCCGGGGGCACTCCACGCGCGCTCGGCACCGCACTCCGAGTGGGCCCCATCTAGGGGAACATAAAGTGACACAAACATAAATACTCGGAGGCCCGCGCGGATTTCTCGGATCGGCGCTGGGCCCCCCCGGCGGCGCCTCCGGCAGCGCCCCTGGCGCGCCGCGCGCGCCAGAGAGGGGGGTCCAGCGCGGATCCAGGAAATCCGCGCGGAGCGCCAAAAGTTTATGCTCATGCCGCTGTTCCTCCTTCTAACAACGGCGGCAGGCCCGGTGAGACGTCAGTTTTTGAGGATCGAGGGCTCCCAGCCAGAGTCGGTCCTGTGGGCGCTGCCCGAAGTGCCGGGTCAGTTTCCAACAAGTCAGGGAGGTGGTGGTCAGCGTTTCGGGGGGACGTGCCGATACCAGCCAGACCCGAGAGGGCCCTGCAGGGGCCCCGGGCTCTCTCGTTCCCTGCTCTCGCCTGTGCGAGCGACGCCGAGGTCGAGAACTTCATCCCCGCGCGCGTATGATCTGCGGCGGGGTTGTTGCATTCGGAGGCCCTTCTCAGACGAGGCGGACTCGTTTACATTCAGCACGCAAATTGAGCATTGAGTACCAGCTGGGTGAACAGCGCCATCCTTCGGAAACGACCACGCGCTGGTTCGGAGCTACCACGTCCTGGCCAGACCACATAATTGCGCGCAGGGCGATCAGCACGGTCGCACATTATCCCAGTGTGGGGGACGAACGGTCTGACACCATCCTTGGGCGCATGATTGTGAGGTCCGCGGCCCGTATTTGTGTTGTTGTCTTGTCATGTCTCGTCTCTCGATCCGCCCGCGATCCACCCGTGACCCACCTGCGACAGGCCCGAGCCCACACCGAGAACAACCCTCGACCCGCCCGCGACCCACACCCGCGACCCACCCGCGGCCTACCCACATTCCTGCAAGGAACAATGGGCGCCGTCAGCAAGGTGTCTGTGCTGAAAGCATCGGCGTTTGTGGCGGGATTCCGTAATTGCTTTCGAGCCTCGCGACCCGCCGACGACACACCCCCGCGATCAACACACATCATTTTGCGAAGAAACCGGCTCCCCGCGGCGAGCTGGTTCTTACATCTGCTGTGGCGTTGGCGGGGGGCTTCTTGACATTGGCACTCGAGCCCCGCAACCCCAGCAAGGCAGCCCAGACGCCCGCATCATTGTCATTCGCAATTGCGTGGCCTAGGTATCGAGATTTCTGCTAGCTGGGCAAAGAATGATGACGCTGATGACTGGCCACGTCCATACTTACACAAGTGGTTGTAAGAAGTGGTGCGTCGATAGATCATTCAATCCGTCACGGACGTGCGCTAGACCACGATTGGAATGCATTAGGCGGGGAGAACGCGTGTGCAGCATCATCCAGATCGCGCCACAAACGTACCAGTGTGAATTTGGAACACCTACACGAGTGCAAGTCTTCACGCGCGTCATGCCAGGTGTGAGCGGCGACAGTTCACGATACCCCATTCACGAACGAAAAAAAAACAGCCGTAAGCATCTGCGAGGCTTTCAAAATTCCCTACATGACGCGGATTGGCGACTCGGAGTGCATTGGGCACAACATGTCTCACCAACGTTGCAGTTGCCAGGGAGAGCCGAGATCTCAAGCGCGAGAACTCGAGGCGAAGTCCTGTAGAGGTTAGGTGTGCTTATATGTTAATGCACCCTCTGGCGTTCAGTCTACATCACTTGAGCCTCGGCTTCCACTCCTCGCTGCCCATTGTCCCTTCCAAGTCGTTCCAATCTGCACCGCCACCCTCTTTCTTCGTCACCCGATCAGGCATGTACTGTGCGACGAGTTGGTGTCGCAGCCAGGCACATACAGCGCAAGGCATACTGCTCATTTCTCAGCTGTTGTTGGTCTTTATCGCTGTGTTCGCCTTCCTTGGTTCCGCCCCTTCCTCGCTCACACCCCTGCACTCCGCGATCACGTGTAGCATCGCCTATTGCGTGTTCTTGTTCCTCCCCTTCCGAGTTCTCCTCCCTTTCCATTTCCTCCACCCCCTCCTCCTCCACCAGCGCACTCCTTCTTCTCCTCCACCTGCTCTCCGTAGCCGTTCAGCTCAAGGCGTCGGCGGATTCCGATATATGATCATTATCTCGTTATGTTGTTGGCTTCTCTTCTCGAGCGCAAGAGATCCTCTCGGCATATCACCGCCGGCCGACGAGCACTATTCGCGAAGGCATACTGGGTGCACCAGCCGTCACATCCGGGAAGTTGGCGAAACTAAAATCCACCAGGCGGATGTAGGTTGTGCCGTCGTGCGGCGTTTCAACCAGGAGTGCGCACACGATCTCCTTCGGCTGTTGGAGCCTGAGCTAACCACGTACATGGCCACTCCGTTGCGCGACGAGGAAGTGGTCCACAGCGCACCGCTGTCGCCAGCTTTCTCTCGGCATAGCACGGGCCACCAGGCACAGCCACTGGCAACTAACGGCCGCGAGGTAGATCGCCCGACCACCTGCATCATGTCCAATCGATGCAGGATGCCTTGGTGGTTCGCACTTCGCTCATCGATATTCTGGAACGACCCGCGCATGTGGAGCAGCGACTGGTTTCGTCTCATCCATGTTGCCAGCTCGGAACAGTCGTCGCGCCGTCCGTTCCGACGAGTCCTTCCTGCGCGACGGTGCCGACGAGGAGCCCCTGGAGAGGCGACAGGGAGGCGACAGGCGAGCCCGGTAAACCTCGGAAGGGGGGGCCGGGGGGGGGAGGGAGGGGCAATGCACGCGATTGAGCTTGTTGATAGGGGAGTGGGCCTCCTCCTCCGCCTCCTCCTTCTCCTCCTCCTCCTCCGTAGCAATCTTGGCTCAAGGCCAATTCCGTAGGCCCCCTGCTCCTGGACCTTGTCCCTCGGCGTATCCCCATCTCGGGCGGGCGTGAGGGCCTTGGGGGGGCAGGGCTCTTGGCTCGCGGAGTGATGGCTGCGGGATCGGGCTCGGCGGCGGTGCTGCGCGGCGCTACTGGTGCCCGTGAGTCTGCGGACCGCCTCGTCGCGCGGCTGCAGTCGCAGCTGGCGGCCGCCACACGCCAGCGGAAGGACACGGAGGAGGCCCTCCTGGTCATCGGCGGCGACGGCGAGGTGGCCGCCCGCGTCCGCTGCTTTCTTCCAGCCCTCGCCGCGCTGGTGGAGGGCCGCGCGCCCACGTGGCCCCAGAGGCTGTGGGCGCAACGCCGCCCTCCATGCAGCCGCGCCCAGGGCGCAGCTGGAGGGCGCCGACGCGCAGGCGCTCCGTGCTGCCCAGCGCGGGCCGCGCCTCGGCGCCGCTGCGGAGGGCTCCCCCGCGCCTGCGCGGAAGGGGTGCGGCCCCGTCGCGGAGAGCGGGGCCCAGGCTTTCGGGCACGGCCTGGCTGCGGGCTGGAGCCTGGCGGCGCGCCAGGGCGGGCTTGCGGGCGTGGCGTGGGCGCCGGGCCACTGGCAGGACCCGCAGCAGCCCGGTTTGCTGCTCGAGGCGCTCGGCGTGGAGCTGCAGCCGTGCTCGCAGGTCGTCGGCGACGAGCGCGGGGCGTCCGAGGCCACCTTCGAGGAGGGCTTCTGGGTCGAGGCTTTCTCCGACCTGATCGGGGAGGCGTCCGAGCCGGTGGCGGCCGTGCCGCCGACGGTGTGCGACGCGATCGTGGAGGGGACCGTGCCGGTGGCGGCCGAGCTGCCGACGGAGTGCGTCGCTTTCATGGGCGGGGAGTCGGATGTGGTCGAGGCTGTCGCGGGGCTGGACAGCTCGGTCCAGTCAGCGGCGGAGGTCGACGGCGAGGGCTCCTGCGGGCCAGAGAGCTCTGAGGCAGGGCACATCGCGGAGCCCCTGGGCGCGAGCGAGGTTGACGACATGCTGCGGATGCTGGACGAGTGCGCCGCTGCCGTGCTGGAGGGCGGCGCGGGCGCGATGGTCTCCGCCGACGTCACCGGCGGCACTGCGGACACGCCGAGGGCCGCAGTCGAGGCGTCCTTCGCGGACGCCCGCGCGGCCGGCGGAGTAGAGGCAGGCCCTCGGTCTGTCCTGCTTGACCCGCCTCGAAGTCTGGGCGGGGCGCCCCTCGGCGTGGGTGTGGGAGGCCGCCGCCCTGGTCGGGCGTTTGCCCCGTGCGTTGCCGCTCCCCCTCTCGGGGTGTGGGGGCGGCCGCTGGCGGCGGCGGGGTTGGCCCGCTCTGTCCCCGCGGGGGTGGTTTTTCCGCCCCCCTGGCTTGTCCGTGGGACAGGTCCGGGTCGGACGGATGCCTGTCTGGGCTGCTTCGGGGCACCTCCCTCGTCGCAGCGGCGCCCGCGCGGCGCGCCCGAGGCGGCGCAGACCCTTGACATCTGGGGCCCTGGCGGTCGTCTCCGTGCAGACGGTCGCCAGGGCCTCTTTGATGATGCCCCATCCATCCATCCATCCATCCATCCATCCATCCATCCATCCATCCATCCATCCATCCATCCTCTTCCTCCTCCCCCTCCTCCTCCTGCTCCTCCTCCTCCGTAGCCATTTTGGCTCAAGATGACGACCTGGGGGGCTGTCCAGCCTCCAGGCCGAAGGGAGACCTCTGGACCGAGGACAGTTCCCAGACGGGCGTCGGGCGCGCGCGCGGCACCGCTGCAGCCATGGGGAGTGGCGGCGGCGGACGCGGGGCGGGCAGCGCCTGGTCGGGGACCCCGAATCGCCAGAGGGTTCCCCCGTGGAAGAGGAGCAGCAGTGGCAGTCGCCCTCCTCGCAGCAGCTACGTGGTGTGTGACGGGTGCAGCAGATGGCGCCACTGCAAGAATATCACCAGCAGGGGCGATCTCTGCATCTGCGGCAAGAACCTCGCCTGCCTCGTCCCCGACGGACATGTCTTCCGTGACGACGATGGTGGGTGGCTGGCAGCACAGCCCCAAGGAGGAACCTCGCCCAGGATCAGCTGGGCAGATGGTTGGCAGCCAGGTGGTGGTGCAGGCGGGAAAGGACAAGGAGGCCAACGCCAGCCACCACCTCACGACAAGACTGTCGACCTCAAGGCTGCCGCCGCAGCAGCTTACAGCAAGCTCAGCAAGGACGACCCGCTCAGGCAGCACTACGAGGCCCTCTGGCCAGAGCTCGCCGCAGCCAAGCCACCAGCAGACCAACCAGTCGTTGGATTCAAGGCAGTGGAGGCAGCTGCTCGACGCTTGGACAAACTCCAGAAGAAAGTACGATCGGCAGGGGAGCAAGTTGAGAGTGCCCAGCAGTACTTGGCTGAGAGTGAACGCAAGCTTCGTGAAGCCATGGAAGCCTCCATTGCAGCCGAAGATGAGTTCGACAAGCTCAAGGCCACAGTCGGCAAGCAAGAGGCACCAGCTGAACCTGCAGCCGAGAAGCCAACTCTGGCAGCCCTCCTGGAGCAGTTCGAGCATGAGCCTGATGACTTCCACAAGTGGTCCGAGCCCGACAAGGAGGTCTGGCGAGCAGCAAAGGCCAAGGGCGAGCGCATGGCCCAGACGGTCAAGGAGCACGAGGAGGAGACGGCGAAGCACCTGCGACTACTGGAGGAAGAGACGGCCAGGCACCAGGAGCAGCTGCGCCAGCTCGAGCAGGCCCGCACCAAGCGCCTGTCAAAGAGCGGAGAGCAAGACCCAGAAGCAGCAGAAGCCCCACCAGGCAAGCGTGTCTGCGCCGCCAGCCCAGCCCCTCAGCGAGGTGCCACCACATGCACTGAGGCAGCAGGGACAGCCGCCGCGGCTGCGCCCACCGGCGCCGCAGCAGCTGCCCAACCAGAAGCAGGCGCAGCAGAACATGACAAAGCAGAAGAACGCCGAGCCAGAGTGGAGGCCCACATCCAGGAGGCGCGAGAGAAGGTCTCGCAGGCTAGGCGCGCTGAGACAGTCGTCGACGCAGAAGGGCAAGGTGACCACTCAGCAGGGTAGCCGCCCCAAGGCGAGCGCGAAGAAGGCTCGCCGCCCGTACCACATTGACTTCTTCAACGTCACGACCTGGGGCCCCCAGGCACAGGGCTACCTCATGGAGATCAACAATACCAAGGACAGGGACATCATTGGCATCGCGGAGCACCACCTCCGCCAGCCTGCGCAGATAAGCAAGGCAAGAGCGGCGCCCAGGAGGAATGGCACGCACAGCTACTGGACCAAGGCACGGCCAGGAGAAGGAGAAGGCACTCGAGGAGGCACGTGTGCCATCACGCGAGGATCCTTGGACATCCAGGACAGGATCGCGGGTTTCGATGAGCACTACCTGCACGAGGACGGCAGCGACGTCACGGTGGTGATCTCCAACCTGCACAAGGTCCGTTTCGCAGTGGCTTTCGTCTACCTTGAGTGTGGGACGGGCTTTGGAGAGAGGAACGTCGACATCCTCTGCGACCTGCGGGAGAAGATGGCCGTCTGGGGAGGGCCCTGGGCAGCGCTTGGGGGCTTCAACATGACGCCGCCGGAGCTCAACAACAGCATTTGGCCCAGGGTGCTGAATGCTCAAGTAGCTGCGGCGGAGGATGGCGCCCCCACATGTTTCCCAGCAGTAGGTGAAGCCAGGTGCATCGACTTCGCGCTGATCTCGCAGGGCCTGGCGCCGTATTTCGACCAGCTGGAGCTGCTCAGGACCGCGCCGTGGAAGCCGCACATCGGCATCCGCTTGAAGTTGAAGGGGCGGCCTCTCATGCTCAAGGGCAGGGTACTTCGCAGGCCAGCAGCCATAAAGCCGCCAGTCACAGTCGAGAGAATGCCGAAGTCCAGAGCCGCTTGCAGACGAGCGGCGCGCGGAGGCCAGGAGGCCATGCGCCGACGTCAGCAAGCGTTGGCAGAGGCAGGATGCGACCTGGACGAGAACGACATGGAGCCAGTGCCGCAGCTGTACTACGACAAGGAGGTCAAGCACGTCATCCCTGACGAGCTGTGGCAGGCCACCTCCGAGCGGGTCAGCGCGCGCGCCTACGACGAGTTGCCCCAGCACTTGCAGCACACAGTCGTCGGCAAGATGATGGAGCGGGAAATGCTGGACCTGGGGCAACAGCACGACCGCTTCGCAAGCACCCTCGAGCTCAGCCTGTGCGAGAGCATCGGCATCCCAGAGGAAGAGCGTGGACGACATCTCGGGCGCAGCAGGCCCCCGAGCTACAAGAGCGCGAGCATCAAGGACACCGTCACCTCTACGCCATGGGCAGGGGTCGAAAGGAAGATCCACGCGTGGTGGGCGTAGATCTCCCCCTTGGCGCGGCAGCTCTCGCACCATGATGCCCGAGCGCAGGAGGCAGCAGCAAGTCGACAGGGCAAGACCCAGGCACTTCCCGATGAGGACTCAGGAGGTGGACAGGGCCCGTCGGCGTCGGAGCTTGGCCCCGTCATGTCTGGCAGCCAGGTAGGCCACGAAGACGGGTTTCCCGCACCAGCCATGAGCCCATCGAAGAGCTCGGGAGGAAGCTCGGGGGATCGCGCCCCCACCGAGCGGGGTGAGGGCCCCCCCGAGCTGCAGCAGAGGCGTGCAGGCAGTGGAGGCGCAGCAGGAGGCGGCGGCAGTAGCACCAAGGACATTGAGAATCAGCCAGCACCTGAGGAGGTCTTCCCTCCTCAGGCTGAGGTCCAGGAGCTCACAGAGGGGCCAGCCCAAGAGAGCCCAGAGCGACCCTGCCTCAGCCCAGCATCGCCGCCAAAGGACGCGTCCTGGACCCCCGAGACGGGCACAGCTTTCCAAGAGATGAGGGCGAGGCGGCCTGGCCCAGAGAAAGAGGCAGGCCCCTCCTCACTCTCCTCGGGGTACCCATCCCCCACACAGGCGAGCGCAGCGGACCATGGGAAGGCAGCTGGCCCCTGCTCTGAGATGGGTCAGGGGTTCCCGTCCCCCGAGTGCGCCGCCACGGGACGCGTCCCAGACCTCGACGTGGGACCAACCCACAGCAGCGCAGACAGCTGCACAGAAGGGATGCAGAGGGGTGCCCTTCCCCCACCAGCAGGACGCAACACCATGGACATCCAAGATCACGACCCCTTCGAGGATGAGGAGGACTACTTGGAGTACCGCCATGGGATCGCAGACCAGGAGAACAGCGATGGGTACCACCAGCACATCGAGGGGCAGCAGGACAGCCTCGAGTTCGGCCAGACCGTTCGCCGTCGTGCAGCTGGATCAGCTTTTCCCCCACCAGCAGGACGCAGCACCTTGGACGTCCAAGACCACGACCCCTTCGAGGAGGAGGAGGACTGCTTGCAGCACCGCCAGGAGACCGCAGATCAGGAGGACTGCGACGGGCACCACCAGCTCATTAAGGGGCAGCAGGACAGCATCGACTACGGCCAGACCGTTCGTCGTCATGCAGCTGGTTCTGGTAAAACTGCCCCAGGTGACACGCACTGCTCACCTCCTCAGCCAGCTGGCACTCTGGAGGCAGAGGGTACCGATCACCTGGGGAGTCAGAACCAAGCGCCGCCAGGCCCAGAGGCAGAGGAGCAACGAGATATGGGCCTGCCCCCACCAGACCTCTGGAATGATGACCAGCACCAGCGGGAGCGGGAAGACTACGTGGCCATGAGAGACGACCTGGAGTACTGGGCGGCCATCTGGATGGATAACCTGGTGCAGCTCCCCACGGACAACAGCAACTGGATGCAGTTCTGTGTGCCGTTCCTGGAGACCATCTTGGGTGGCGGAGGCAACAATGGCATGGTGAGACTGCTCAGGCGTAGGTACCAGCAGGCCGGCCTCAGCCACATCATCAGGGATCTCTGCGAGCGAGCATGGAGACATGCAGAACCACGACGCCGAGGCTTTCTCCAAGGTCTTGCGCGAGAGGAGCCGACGAGGAGGCACGAATTGGAAATGATGCATTGGAGGGAGCTTGCTAACTTGCGGAGGTTTATGCGAGAAGTTATAGGCGAACGAGCACCAGAAGGAGCAGCGCGAAGGCAACTACATGATGCTCCAGGAACAGGCAGTGGCCCGAGTAGCCGCCGAGAGCTGCAGGTCCGCACCCACAGCGGCCACCAGACGCAGCAGCAGATCAACACAAGACGGCAGCTCGCGCAGCAGCTCAACCAGCCTGACCCAGGCAGGCTGAACGAAGAAGGTGCAGCCAAGGACCAGCAGCAGGCCCTCCTCACAGACCTGCACGCGATAGCAGAGGGCGCCCTCGTGGACCCAGGGACGATCAGCAGGGTAGCGGAGGAGGTAAAGAGCATGGCCAAGCTACTCACTAAGGCGGTGAAGAAGGCGTACATCTACTGGGTGCACGACGCCACGGCAGGCAGTGCGAAGATGGCCCACGCCTACACCAAGGCAGCGGAGCGCAGCCACCTGGAGGACATCCTTGAGCACGAGGGCCAGGTCATCAACCACCCGCAGCAGCTGGTGGACTTGCGCAAAGAGGCATGGCAACGCAGGTGGACACGAGATGCACAGAAGGCCGAGAGGATCCAAGAGGCGCTGGCCAAGCTGAGGCAGGCTGCCTTGGCCCAAGAGAATGCCCTCGAGCCCATCAGCAAGGACATCATCGGCTCCATCATCCAGCACCTGAAGCGCAATGCTGGCCAAGGAGCGGACTGGTGGAGGGCTCCAGAGCTCAAGGCCATGGGCGCCCAGGGGCTGGAAGACTTCGTGCAGTGCCTGACCAGCTGTGAGCAACGGGCAGCGTGGCCGTGGCAATTCTACTTGGTGCTGGAGCTGCTGCTGGGCAAGAAGCCAGGAATCGGCGGTGAGCGCCCCATCGGCCTCATGCCCATGCCGTACCGCATCTGGAGCGCAGCCAGGAGGCCCATAGTAGCCACCTGGAGCAAGGCAGCGGCGGGCTTCTGGGATACGGCAGTAGCTGGCTCCTCAGCGCTACGAGTGGCAATGCACAGACTGATGAGGGCAGAAGCCGCCACGGAGATGGGCTTTCATGCAGCAGGAATGTTCTACGACGCGGCAAACTTCTACGACAACATAGGCCTAGACCAGCTGATCGAGACGGCCAGCGCCCTCCAGTACCCGTTGCTGCCGCTGGCAATGGCCGTGCAGATGTACCTTGCGCCCAGGGCCATCATGGCCCACAGCCTCTTCTCGGACATCGTCGAGCCTGCCAACAGCATGGTAGCTGGCTGTGGCCAAGCGGTCGGCCTCACCAGACCGCTCTTGTATGGCATCCTGGATGCAGCGCACAGGCACCACATCTTCGTCGTCATGCAGCAGTACCTGGACGGCTTGGCCCTGCAGGTAGAGGGTGCGCGGCGGCAGGTCATTGACCAGATCAAGCACGTGGCAGCGCTGGTGCACGACGGATTCAAGCAGCTCTCGATACCCATCTCCGTCAAGACGGCAGTGGTGGCCTCGGACAAGGACCTCCAGGCAGAAGTCGCCAGCATCCTGGACAGCCTGGGCACCCCCAACAAGCAACCAGGTGTAGTGCGCGACCTCGGCGTCGACACCAGCCTCGGCAAGCAGCTGCGGCGACCCACCCATGCCGCGCGCCAGGCCAAGGCCAAGCAGAGGGTGGCCAAGCTCAAGGACCTAGCGAAGACGGACGCCAGAGGCGCGGCAAAGGTCTATTCAGCAGGTGCCTACTGCCAGCAGGCCTGGGACTTACCAGCGCACGGCATCACGCCCACGGAGGCGAAGGCGGTCAGGGCTACGGAGGCAGCGCTCCTCACAGGCGGACACAAGGCTGGACGCTGCACGTCCACCATCCTCCTGATCCAGAGGGGAATGCAAGAGGCAGTTACCCGAGCCATCGGTGACCAGATCAAGCAGTTCTGGCTCACCATAGTCGACCACCCGACGGAGCTCAAGAGGTACCAGAGAGGCTGGCTCCTGCTCTACGCCAAGCTGGGCGCCCTGGAACCCAACCGCAGGTGGCAGCAGGTCAAGGGGCCTATGGCAGGGGTCATCGCACAGCTGCTTGGGTTAGGCTGGATACCGCGACGCCTGGACAGCTGGATCAGCCCAGCAGGTGACGAGTGGGCCTACAAGCCAGATGACATTCCTCACTTCGGCGCGCTCCTGCATGAAGTCCAGCAGAGCGCGCAGCAGCAGCTCTGGCAGCAGGCAGCTGGCCATCGCAGTGGAGAAGGACCTCAGGCTGGAGGCGACCTCTATGAGCTGCAGCGCCACCTGAGGAGGAGGAGGCGCAAAGGACAGCATGCAGAGGCAGCCATGCTGGAGACCATAGCGGTGGCGGGCATCTGGACCAGGGAGCGTCGCAGGGCGGCCAACCTCAACCAAGAAGGCGACGACACCTGCGCGAGATGCGGCGAGGCGATAGAGACAGAGGAACACCGCTACTACGCATGCCCTGCCAACGCAGAGATAGGGCACAGCAATGACACCGACCTGGCGAAGAAGGCGAAGGACGCGCTGGACCAGCGGCAAGACCTGCACTTCTGGCTCCGAGGCATCCCGCCAGCGGCCTGGGCAGCCAAGGTCGACCCAGACGAGGACGCGGCGAAGGCGGCGCAGATCTTCTGCACCAGCGAAGAGGCTCAGGCGGCAGCCCAGTCAGGGTACAAGGTCGAGCAGACTATGTCTTCACGGACGGCTCAGGTGGTGCAGGGGAAACGGCCAAGGACCCCCGCCTCAGACGCTGCGGCTGGGCAGTGGTGGCTTCAGGTTCGACGAACAAGGACGTCCGCAGGAAGTGGCCGCCTGGTACGGCACGATCAGGGCACCGCACACGGTGCCACGGGCAGAGCTCACCGCCATGAGCAAAGCCATCGGGTACACCACGGCGGCGACAGCCAGGGGGCTCAACATAGTCAGCGATTGCAAGTACGCCCTGGACGCACTCAAGCAGATCCAGGATCCAGAGGATCTGGACTACAGGAGCACGAACTACGACCTCTGGCTCCAGACGAAGCAGCAGCTGCAGAACAGCACGGACACCATCATGGGCCACCACATCCCAAGCCACCTGCTTGAGCACCCAGCCGAGCTGGAGAGGTGGAATGGTCCCACCTGGTGGGTCATAGGAAACGAGATGGCAGACAAGTACGCAGGCTGGGGAGCGGAGCATGGAGCACTGGATCCAGCCATCATCGCGCAGCAGCAGATCAGGGACCAGATCACCACGGCGGTGCAAAACCGGCTGCTGGCCATCAACCTGGCGGTGACGGTGGAGGACCCCAACAAGGCCCCTCAGCGTCCCAAGGCCAAGCGCCGAAAGCCGCAGACGGCGAGGGACAGGGCAGCCCAGCTGGGACACGACTTGCGCAAGCTACATCCGCGATGGTGGTGTGCAGCGTGTCGCAGTGGCCCAGCCAAAGGACAAAGCATCAGAGACTGGCTGGCAGAGACGGGAGAATGCCTCGGGAAATACGGCGGCCACCAGGACCAGCACGGCAACGTCAGGCTCGACTTCAAGGCGGTGCAGATCGGCACGCAGGTGGTGCACGTCTCCCACAAGACGCAGTTCACCCATGGCTGGCTCTGGTGCGAGAAATGTGGCGGCACCAGCTACCTTGGGGACCACAAGAGCAGGATTGTGGCAGGAGTGGCAAGGAAGCTGGCAAGGCCGTGTCAGCCCCCAACAGCAGCAGGGCGGCGGGTCTTGGCGGACTTGCAGAGGGGCAAGCTGCCAAGAGGAGCTAAGCCAGCAGCAGACCCAGCTGATGAGGGTCTCAACGAGATCACCATGCCTGGAGATTTCAAGCTCGGCCTGAGTAACCACGAGGCGATCGACCTGGACGGGGACAGCTCAGAGGCAGGGGACCCGCAGCCAGCTCCACAGCAGCCACCCAGCCATCCGCACTCTGTCGTCCACGCCAGCTGGAGGCTCGTGGACCACATGGAGGGCTACGCGGAGCAGTGGATGAACATGGTCGACCAAGAGGTCTGGGACGACATGGACGACTGGATGGAGCACTGCGTACCGTACCTCCTGGCCATCACCAATGTGGGTGGCGGAACGGACACGCAAGAGCAGACCAGGGCCGCCACCGTGCAGGAGCTTCAGCAGATCAAGGACTTCTGCGAAGAAGTCTGGCGCAACACGCACCGCACGCGACGGAGACTCATGACCAGGATGCTTACCCTCCCGTACGGTACAAGGCAGCAGGCAGCAAGAGTGCACATGGACGCCTTCCAGAACAGAAGGAACAACATCCTAGCGCACAGCATCCCCAGCAGCGAGCGCAGGCCGCTGCCGAGAACAGCGGAGGCCAGCCGAGAGTGGTCACCAGAGAACCTGGACGATGATGACTCGACCCCAGACAGTGAAGCCCCAGAGCTGGAGGGTGAGCCGAGCAACCAGGAGATGGAGACCATGGCAGGACCCGATCAGAGGCACGACGCCAACAGCCCGATGCAGACGGCTGTGCAGGTGGCAGTAACGCTGACCAAGCCAGTGGGGCCCGACCTGATGAAGTTCGTGAGCGAAGCTGATGAGGCCGGCCTGCTCCACCCAAGGCTTCGACACAACAAAGGAGAAGCTGACCAGGACCCCGAGCACGAGGTGGCGTGGCTCGAGAGGAACAGGCTCGAGCAGCTCATGCAGTCGCTGGCTGGCAGCTGGAGCCAGAAAGAGGGCGAACAGGGCTGGCCATCGTGGCAGGCTGCGTGCGTGCCCCATGTGCTGAGGGCGCTGCAGACTGGCGTCTACCAGAGGCTGTTCAGCAGCGTGTCAGGGCCGAGCCGCCAGCGCAGCCAGCGCCGAGCGGCGGAGGAGATCTGCCGCCTGGCATGGCTCAACAGCGGAGAGGCGCGCAGGCAGATCCAGCAGCAGGACCCGAAGGAGGCAG